CTGAACACATATTTCTTAAATGAAAATGATTTAAAGACTATCAGATTCTATTTTTATTTTATTTATATATTTATTTATTGGCCTCAGGTCTTCTATTTTTTTTTTTTTACACTTATCATGCTGTGAGTTCACAGAGAATGGGTTCCAGGAGTTCAGGATCCCTTCCATTGGTTCTCACAAAGTGTGTTTCTCTGGGCAGAACAGGCTGGAGCTTCCATTGAACCCAAGTACCTTTCTTTTCTGTTTCCTTCTTTTTCTGTTTATTTTCCTTCATACTGTGCAGGCAGCTATCTCTGTTCTTTGAGTGCTTAATATGCATTAATCCTCTTGGCAACAGTCCTACCCTTGCTGGTTTACAACAATGCCAACAACATCTTGGGAAACGTTGTATACTCTTCCAGCTTTGCCATGGTAACATGTGTGGGTGTTCCTTTTTGAACAGTGCCCGTTCCCTTGATGTTCACAAATCGTATACTTGCATGTACGTGGCCAAAGGAACCACTCCATGTTTTCTAAAAGGCCTAGAGAATATAGCGGGGGCCCCCTTCTCTTTCTCTTTATGTTGGTCTTTTTGGAGAATTACTGGAAGATGGGGACTCCAGATGAAAGGAATCCAATTAGGTGAGGAGTTAAAATGGTGGAGTAGTAGGGGGACCCTATGCTTGTCTTATCCCTTGAACACATCTAGATAAGTATCAAATCATTCTGAACACCCAAGAAATCAATCTGAGAACTGAGAGCACAAACTACACAACAGGAGGGAGAAAAGAAAGAGATCAGATTAGATTTTTAAAATCTAGCTCTCTGAGGGCACCAGGGTGGCTCAGTCAATTAGTGTCCATCTTTTGATTTCAGCTCAGGTCATGATCTCAGGGTCATGAGATGGAGCCCTACATTGGGCTCTGTGCTCAGCGGGGAGTCTACTTGAGATTCTCTCCTTCTCTCTCCATTTCCCTCGCCCCTCGCCCACCACTCACTCTCTGTCACTCTCAAATAAATAAATATTTTTAAAAATTATAATAATAAATAAAAAACAAAATCTAGTTCTGTGTTGCTCACAAGAGACACTACTAAAACAAAATGACCAGGAAATCTGAAATAAACTGATATTCAAAAAGCAGCTTTAGACACATACTCAACAGAAGATAGCTAGTGTAGCAACTGTATAATCAGGCAAATAAAATCTAAGGACAAATGGCATTGCTAAGGAAGATACTAACTTTGAATTACAAGGATATCCGATCTGAAAAAGCAAACAAACAAGGATATCAGATGTGGTGATTCTATGTGGGATGACCACTATTCTAGATCCTGAGTTTCTATCGTGAGGAATCAGAACCAACCTCAAACCAGTAAACTGCATAAAAACATGGCCATGGGCTGCTTTGTTCACTGCCACATTATGAGCGTGTGTGCCTGCTGCATGTCACAGCACCTGGCGTGTACCAGGAGTTCAATATTCACGAATTAATTACATCTCTGAACTACAAATGCCACTGAGGAAGCCCACATCTCTTTCTGTACCCTCAGAGGTAAAACATGGTGCAGAGATTCTGGTTGAGGACTCTATGCGTCACTTATTCCAGCTCTGAACAGCAGTTAACCCCACCCCATGCTCCCTCCTCTCCCACCCGCTAATATGTTCCCAATACTCTCTATATTGTTGGTGCAACTTTGCGCAGTAAGATGAGAAAATTCCACTGAAAAATATCTGAGGTTGAGGCTCTTGGAGCATAGTGGCTTGTGCCTCTAGAGGCCATACTAGGGCGAGTGAAGGGGGAGCCACGAGTGAGAATTCAAACAATGCCGGCATTTTGAGCTAGATCTGCAATATTCTAACACCTTCCCTCTGACCTTGTCTCATTCTTTCTGGTTTGAGTAAAAGAAGATCTAATAATAACTTCATTCTCTAGAGGGGAAAAAAAGTCTGAGTTGTGAAGTATTTTCAGAAAGAATTTTATATTGAATTCTAAAACAGAGAAAATAATGTAAATGCATTCAAGTATGCCAATAAGTTCCACTGTCCTGACAGGCAGCTTTGAATGAATATTGGTGGGAGATGACTTTCCAAAAGTTACTAAATTAAAATCAATAATTGCAACTTGATATTTCTCAGGCATATTTCTCTTTCTTCTGATGTTTCTTTCTTACTCTAAAACATGGGAAAGAAGCAGGGAAAATAAAAACACATGATCCCTGCTCAGTCCTGGGTCCAGTACCTTCCTTCAAGAATCATGAGGGGGAGGGACGCCTGGGTGGCTCAGTCAGTTAAGTGTCTGCCTTCAGCTAAGGTCATGATCCAAGGGTCCTAGGATGGAGTCCCGCATCAGTCTCCTTGCTTGGCAGGGAGCCTGCTTCTCCCTCTGCCTGCTCTGCCTGCTCTGCCTGCTCTCCCCCTTGCTTGTGCTCTCTCACTCTCTCTCTCTGTTAAATAAATAAATAAAATCTTAAAAAAAAAAAAAAAAGAATCATGAGGGGGCAAGATTCTCTCTGGCAGAAACTGATAAGCAACTTGCTCCCGGTTACAACCAGCTATGGGGGAGGGCTCATATCTACTCTTTACTTGTCCTTTTCCTCAAGAAACACCTTACTATTAGCAAGGGAGACTTTTTAAGTGAGGCTGAGTAAATTTCTGTGCATATATGAGAGTGACAGAGACAAAGAAATGGATTCATCAAAAGGAAGCACTGACAGACAAGTAACAGGCAGATAAAAAGTGTTATCTGATGATCCAGCTTGGATATCTAATTGTCTATAGTCCAGAAGTGTTGGGCAGTTGTGTCAGCTTTTGGCCTTCATTCATTTTTTCCAATGAGGTTTGAGGTACAATTGAATATACAAGAGTTATTTTCAAATTCACATTTGTGAGTGGGAAAACAGAGTTAAGAACAGAAAGTAAGCAGAGAAACAGGTATTCCATTTGTTTGCCTATTTGTGATGTTTTTCTACAGATAGTGGTGGGAAGAAGCAAGTTGGATTTTTGTTCCTTTGTATTATAAGATACATCTAAGGGTGCATAAAACATAAATGTTTAGTGGTGGAATACCTCTAAGGTGACCCCATAAAGCCACCACCCAAAGCAGGAAATTGGACACAGCAGGATGCTCCTTGAATCCCTTCCCTCTCAGGAAAACACCACCCTGATTTTTGTGACAGTTATCTTCTTGCATTTCTTTATAGTTCTGCCAATTTCTTAAGCACTTGAAAGAAACAGAATTTCACTTTGCCCGCCCTTGAACTGTAGAAATAGTATCACAGTGAATGTATCTGTGTCTGGTCCTTGCTCAGTCTGAAGTTTATTGGATTTATCCATGTTGTTACACACAGATGTAATTCATTTATTGTCATTGCTATACTGTATTCCATCACATGAATGTACCAAATTTGTATTCATCTATTCAACTGGTGACAAACATCGGATGGTTTTTTAAGTCTGGGGTTGTTGATAATAAGGCTGTACATTCTGAAACAGGTGTCCTGGTGCACATGTGTAGGGGTTTCTTTTGGACAGATGCTTAAAAATGTGTAGTCTAGGAGAAGAACTGGTGAGTCATGGATCGTGTGTATGTGTGCACCTGGGTGGTAAGAACGCGTATGAGATCTACCCTCTTAACAAATGTTTAAGCGCACAATACAATACTGTTAGTTATAGGCACAACGTTGCGCAACAGATTACTGTGTATAAATGAAAGTTTATACCTATTAAACAAGAACTCTTCATTCCCCCCTTCCCATCAGCCCCTCCCTAGCAACCACCATCCTACTCTGTTTGAGTTGGACTATTTTGCAGCATTGTTAATAATAGCCAAGATACAGGAACAACTTAAATGCCCATTGATGAATGAGCATTTAAAGAAAATGTTACTTTATATATACAATGGAATATTATTTAGCTTTAAAAAAAGAAGGAAATGCTGTCACATGTGACAACATGGGTGAATCTAGAAGATATCACACTATGTGAAATGAGCCAGTCACAGAACACACACTGCTTGTTTCTACTTATATGGGGAGTGATTTCTTTTACTTTGCAAGGGACCGTCAAACTATTTTCCAAAGTGGTTATACCAATTATCATCTCCCCAGCTGTGATGAGAGTTCCAATGTAGGAATGCCTGGGAAATTGGCAAGAAGCTTCGTCTTGTTCAGATGTAAAGGTACGTAACAGATCATCAAGAAGGGAAATATAGAGAGTGCTTGTGTTCTGGGACACTGAAAACATACAGACTTTAAAACCACACATAATCAAATCCCTAATTATGTAAAATGAGGATAATGTCCATCTCAGGACTACTTGAAGGAATAGATAAAATGGATTTACAGTACTGACACAAAGTAGGAAAGATAAAATTGACAGTAGCACTCTCCTTCTCAACTATCTCCAGAGCCAGAGTTGAAGAATCAAGGATCCAGTTTCTCTGTGGGACAAGGGCAGAGTGCTAGACCTTGCAGATTGTTTTCTCGTGTATTTATTTGGTGGTACCGGAGTAGAAAAATGTTTCTTGAATAAATAAGAATGCCAAAACACAAAACTTCTTTTAGGAATTTTAGAACTCTTAAAATAAGAAGTAATAATAAATAAATAAGAACACCAAAACATGAAACTTCTTTTAGGACTTTTAGAACTCTTTATAAGAAGAAATAATAAAAAATAAATAAGAATACCAAAACATGAAACTTCTTTCAGGACTTTTAGAACTCTTAAATCCAAAATATTAAATGAAGGGTTAAGTCTTTTATGAAACATTTAAAAGGAAAGATCAGCAAGTAAAAAAACAACTGACTTCAAGCCAAGCCAAAATGGAAAAAGTGAATATTCCACCAGATTTTAATGTCACCATTTTCATTCACTTACCATGATCTGCTCGTTTGGAAGCAGGTGTGTTGCTATGGAGACCATTCTAAATAGTCCCTCAGAGTCATTCATTCACTTGAGGTTTACCACAAGAGTTGACAACTGACTCTTAATGATTTAAGAGTCATCTTAAAAAGTTACTAACCTCCTTTCATTCTGAGTTATTGTACCATTTTCCAGCTTTTTAACTGTGGTTGCCAGCACTTTATTTGCATCATTGGCAAAGTCTAAGTCTCGGACCTCAGACAATGGGACAGACACAATGGCAAATGCTTCTTTATCTTCTTTCGTTTGGCAAGTTCCAATCTGCAAGGTGTTTTTTCCATTCAGATTAGTTGTTTGTTTGTTTGTTTTAATAGCTGTGCAATATTTTTCAGATCCTAACACATCTTTATACTGTTTAAGAAATACAAGACAGAAATAGCTCATCCACACCCAATAATTCCCACATGCATCATCCACTATGAAAGACCATAGGGACACACAGATTTTCTATGCCCATTTCCTGCCTTGTTCCCAAAGCCCACCTAGAACCATAGCCTCTCACATTTGCCCTTTGTTTCCGTATCAACAGTTTAGAGAGAAAGTACTATTGGGATCTTCTCCCCTTTCTACATGCCACTCCTATGATTTGGGCACAGCACCTAAGCCACTTAGTTCAGTGATATAAGCAACTGGCAGAATGAATACTTGATTAAATTAATTGCAATAATCTCTGATATTGGTAAAGATGAATTGTAAGAACCATGTCAATCACTCCCTGATCCTAATCACACATCTGGCGAAAAGTTAAACCACTCTCAGGAACATTTACCTTCAACATAACAGGTCTCTCTTCATCTGTGTCTATGGGTATACTAGTACTTGTTACCCATGTGTTGGTACATAAATGTCTCAACCGAACATAAGAGTTCCTAAAAGCAAAACACAAAAGAACAGTTTATAAAAAATTAGCACACTTACACATTACCTTATTTTAAGAGTTTCATACATTATATGAATATGTTTCAGACTAGAATTAACTCAAGTATAGGACAGTCTGGTTTAAGAAAAAGTTTTGAGTCAAAGACTATTTCAAAGCTTGTGGTATTTTACCTAGACCAGTGGTTCTTAAATTGTGGCCCCTGGTCCAGCAGGACCAGCATCACCTGGGAAATTGTTAGAAATGCAGATTCAGGGAACCTGGGTGGAACAGTCGGTTAAGCTCCAATCCTTGGTTTTAGCTGGGATCATGATCTGAGGGTCTAGGATCCAGCCCTGTGTCAGGGTCAGTGCTTTGGCATGGAGTCTGCTTGGGTTTCTCTCTCTCCCCCCCACCTTTGCTCCCCTGATCTCTCAGGTGCTCTCTCTCTCTCTGGAATAAATAAATAAATCTTTAAAAAAAAATGCAAATTCTGAGGGTTCATCCCAGTTCTCTGAATCAGAAACTCTGAACATAGGGTAAAAATGAGTCTTTTAGCAGCCTCTCCAGGTAATGCCAATGTGAGAACCACTGACCAAGTAGCCACCTCAGCTAACACTGCTATCTGATCTTAGTCCCTTCTGTAGCTTAATCATCTGCATATAAAAGTATATACAGCCAATCTTCATTGTTTGCTGATTCTGTATTTATGAATTCTCCTGCTCAAGAAAATGTATCTGTAGCCCCCAGATCAATAGTCTGGGCATTTTTGCAATCATTCTTGGACATGGACAGAGTGGCAAAAAATTTGAGTCCCCAGTGTGCACATTCCCAGTGAGGGTGGACAATACAGTACTCTGTCTTCTCATTTCTGCTTATAGTATAAACAAGCATGCTTTTCATGGTCTAGTTAGTGCCATGTTTCTCCACATTTCTGTGCTTTTTGTTGATGAGCTTATTGCTTAAAACAGTCCCAAGCATAGGGCTGAAGTGCTGTCCAGTAGTCCTAAGGATAAGGCTGTTATGTACCTTCTGGAGAAAATACTCATGTTACATAAGCTTCATTCGGGCATAAGTTATAGGGCTGATTGCTGTAAGTTCAATGTTAATGAATCAACAATATGTATTAAATAAAGTGCCTTTAAACAAAAATATACATAACACAAGGTTATATGGTACTGATTGATGAAAAATATTGTGACCAGAGACTCACAGGAACCTAACCCCATATTTCTTCTAGGAACAGTGGCTCAGTATTTGCTAATTCAATGTACTGGGAAAAACAAGAATCAACCGTATGTGAACTGTGAGGAAACACCTGAGAAAAGACAGCTAGAACTTCATCCAACTCCAACATTATCATTTTAGTGAATCATTTATTATCATCATTTCTTTAACAAATATGTGTAAAAATATCTGTTCAAACAAAAGCATTGTGGTAAGTTCTGTGCCTCCAAGTTGCTGAGAGTTCCGTAGGAAAGATAAGACATAAATAAATCATATAACATGAGGCAAAAAGCATTAAGGTCAATAAGTCAGAACTAAATAAAACAAGGGCCTCCAGGGAAGAGCAATTCACTTAGCATCATGCTTTGGCTCGTTCATAAAGGTAGATATAATAGAAACTGAGTTTCCAAAAATCTAAAGTAGCAGAAACCAATCCTTGTACAAATAATCATAAATTTACCACTAGTTTACCTCTCATTTGCCACTAACTTTACTTTACTTAACCATTTGTCATGGGTATGTGTGCTCTATAGGGAGATTCTTTTATCATTTCCTTATGCAAACATTCTTGCTTAGAGTTCAAGATGGACTCCATTTCTGCTGAGTTAAATCTAAAATGATTAAAGTTATTGATTAAAATTCCAATACTCAGAACAGAAGGCCAGCAATGTGGATCAGGGAAAACCCTCAGATGGGATCTTTACAGGCTTATAACAGTGGAACAGGAAAGCATGATTAATAGTTGATGTAAAGCTAAGATTGAGCAGCATTTCTCATGAACAAGAATAACCAGGAAATGTCTTGGGAAGCTCAAGGAGTTGTGTTTCTCAACAGTGCTAAGTGCAGCAACCCTCCCTGGAAGTAACCTACACAATGGTGTCTGCATCTTATGTGGGTACCTTCAGTATAACCACTGCCATCCTCCCAAGTCCAAGCACAATAATGCTCTATCAAAGACAGTTTGAACCATCCCACTAGATCTAATGATATGGGCAAGACTCCCTCATACACTTAGAGAGTATATCATAGAGCAACTGTTGGAAGAGAGACAGTCGCAGGCAAAAGAGATTAATTAAAATCAAATCCAAGCAAAAGAATGTAAGACATTGTCTCACATTAAGTTCTGGCTACCTCATTACCACTTCCACTTTCTCACCCATCACTCACTTAGGTCCAATTGGTTTCCTAGCTGATACTTCAGCATACCTACTAAATTTCAAGACTTTTCCATTTCATGCTCCTGCTGCTTGAGACACTCCCGATGGGGAGGACCTGATCTCTCAAAACATTCAGGTTTTTTCTCAAATGTCCTAAATCAGAGAAGCCATTTCTGAACAGTCATACTACCTAATACAACTCTCTCTGCAATTTTTTCTTCAAAGCATTTGTATTACCTGACCTCCTATTTCATGGTTTGTCTATTGCCTCTCTTCCTTATATGAATTTAAGTTTGTTCAGTTCTCTTCCCAATGCCAAGGGCAATGTCTGTTAAGTTCAATAAAGATTTACTGGCTGAATGACTAAATAAATGAACAAATGGATGAATGCATGAATGAATGAATGAAAGAAACCTTGAATTTGACATAATAGAAATAAATGATATAAGTACTGATAGGAAAAAAAAGTAAATACTAATAGAAATGCTCCTTGATCATTTTTCATGTTAGTAAGCAAAGGCCATACAAGTAATAAGAATAAATAATTCTTATGAATTTTTCAGAATTCTTTGGTCCTGCACATTTTAAATATTTATGAGAATAAAACAAACTATGTGAATCTTCTCACAAAAGAATCTCGCATGATTTTTACACACTGCTCTTTTCTTATGCTTGCTCCCTAGATATCACAAAAATTCTATCAACATTAGATGTTAATTCCTTACCTACCATTACAATTACTCAAAGAAATTACTCAAAGAAATCTTACTATTTATTATATACAGCTAAACTATATATATATACCACACATTTTTTTTTTTTACCTTGGAACCAGGCAGTCAGCTCTCTGAAGAGTTGTGGCATCCAGCTCAAACAGGGATGCAATGTCATTTCCATGTGGGACTGAGACTAAAGTATACATGATCTTCTCCCCGGCCTGGCGTTTCTTCTTTGAAGTTGGAAGATCTCCATCTCTCTGTTGCGGAGGTACAAAGTCATTTACTTTTAACAGGTTTCTTACTATATTCTCCAATTAATCAGGAGATAAGATTTAAATCTGCCCATTATTTCTTCATTGGATCATAGAGATGTCTGTTTCACATCATCCAGAGAGAGCAGGTCAGGCCTGACAGCCTTTGAGGTAGTTATTATCAATAGTGAAAAGTCACACACTCCTGGAGAGATGGCTTGATCTGGGCAAATATCAAAGCACTAACAGTCATAATAGTTGTGAATTCCCTTACCATGTCTTAAACCAATTTATTTTTAATTTTATTTTTTATAAACATATATTTTTATCACCAGGGGTACAGGTCTGTGAATCGCCAGGTTTACACACTTCACAGCACTCACCATAGCACATACCCTCCCCAATGTCCATAACCCCACCCCCCTTCTCGCAACCTCCCTCCCCTCAGCAACCCTCAGTTTGTTTTGTGAGATTAAGAGTCACTTATGGTTTGTCTCCCTAGTAGTTTTAACCATTCTACATTTAAAACAAACAGAGTGAAGAAATAGTGTGTGGAATCATCTAGATTTCATAAATTCAAGAGTCAACATGGCAGTATCTCAGAGTTCCTGACCAACTCCCAGAACACAACTGGGAGAGAAGAGGAATCAACAGCGATATTCCTATTCAGTTCATTGGCTTGTTCCTTGAAATCCAAAAACATATTATAATGGCATATACAGTGAAATAAAATGGGATCTTCGCCAGCAGAAGTCCACATGATGATGCAAAACTCAGTCAATATTTCCAAAATACTCCATTTTAAGCTGGCAACCACATGAGATTAGTAATTATATATATTTATTTGAAGCAAGTCTCAATCCCTGTGGAAGAACATGATGCACGAGAAACCAAAAGCTGATACAGCAAATGTAATATAAGATTGGTAATTACATACATAAATATAATTACTTACACATATTTATTGAAAGAAATGAAATTTTAAAATGAGAGAAGTAGAGAGAGAGAGAGAGAAAGAGAATGTCACTCTACCATCACAAGAAGCTGAATGAAAGTGGGGAAGAGAAGGGGGGTTTGAAAGGCAGATGAAAGCAGTCTATGCCCAATGACAAGCAGGTGTTTAATGGCCACTATGACAATGAGATACCAGACCCAGTCGTTCCAAAATATTCACTTGAAGTTCCATCCCAAGATTGTGAATGTCATTTCCTATGCAGTTTCATTCTTTTTTTTTTTTAAGATTTTATTTATTTATTTGACAGACAGAAATCACAAGTAGGCAGAGAGGCAGGCAGAGAGAGAAGGGGAAGGCAGGCTCCCTGCTGAGCAGAGAGCCCAATGTGGGGCTTGATCCCAGAACTCGGAGATCATGACCTGAGCTGAAGGCAGAGGCTTTAACCCACTGAGCCACCCAGGTGCCCCCGCAGTTTCATTCTTATGTGTTCTGCAAATGGTGTGCAAATTGGTAGCAGCAATGAACTGTGAATGGGCAGAGGAACCCCCAGCGTCCTGAAGCAGGAGCAAGACTGTTAGCTGCTAAATTTCACATAGCCCAGAAGTACCTGGTAGCTCCTGACATCTTTGACTTACATGTCTTCTAAAGAGACCAAAATTCAGAGTTAAATGAAAGCAGGAGTCTGGCAAACTCTCCCCATTATCCATAAAAGTTGTTTCCAATTAGTAAGTGTAACTAACTATACTTATTGATCAGAAGAAAAAACACACTTAACTAACTTACTGTACATTATAAGGGAATACAGAGATATAGGGGAAAATGCAAAAATGGTAAGAAAACCATATTTTCCAATTTACACAGAGCTTCTCATAATACCAAAGCCATTGCTGTTCTCATTAATCTTTACAACAAAAATTTGAAAGAAAGTAAGATGAATATTATCATTTCCTTCAAACCAAGAGATGAGTGCCATTACCTACATTTGATGAAGAATGAGGAAAGTGGAAGAGAGGGAAATAGGAGAGAAAAAGGAAGGAGGAGGAGGAAAGAAGAAGGGAGCAGTATGTTGTGGTAGTGAATATTCAACCCCAAATTCAACTAATCACCCCTCAAGCCAAAGCCAACCAAAGCCAGTGGCCTAGACTGAGCCCTCAAACACTCACTGACCTACTCCTCAAAGGGAAGGAAAGAACTCATAAGTAAGAACCTTTCTTAGGTCTTCTGAAAAAATTCTCATGGGTCATGAGACACATTTTCACAGTGATCTGAGTTGAGGGAATGGAGATCTGAATCGAAGACACAATCTGTGAGGGACAGAAACACCCTCATATCCTGAGAAAAGAAAATCTAAATGTCTTTAAATAGCCCAATAAGAGTATCCTGGCCAGACAAATGAGTTGGGGGAGACGGCTACCCAGGTAATAGAAAGCTTAGGCTTCTGAATCTTGAGATTGGGAAGGGTCGTGAAAGATCATCTGTGAGCTAAGAGTTCTTCCCAAATAAATTTCTGACAGTAACTACTCAAGTGTAATTCTATCATTTGGAATATATTCTTCTGGGCCTTGAAAACATTTAGGTTTAATTTTAGCTACTCCCTCCTGAAATTTGAAGAGCTTTTGTACAGTTCCATTTATTTCCTGCATTTCAGCTCTCAGAATGGATTAGGAGGAAGACTCAAGGAAAGAGAAATAGTCGGAATGGAAAGGTAGAAACAAGGCAAAGGAAAGGGAAAGGAATGTGATATTCTAGAAGAAAAACAGGAGTATACAAGAGCAGTACAACACTGAGGGCACCACCCCTGAGACAAACAGCTAATAAATTGGTTTTCATGAAAACCAGTTTCTTCTGCTCTGTGAAAGACACCGTCAAGAGAATGAAAAGACAAGCCACAAGCTAGTAGAAAATATTTGCAAAATTATGTATCTAATAAAGGACTCTTACCCAAAATATACAAAGAACACTCAAACTTCAGCATTAATAAAACACATTTCCCAATTTAAAACTGGGTGAAAGACCTGAACAGACACCTCACTGAAAAAGCCATACAGATGGCAAATAAACATGTGAAAAGATGATCAGCATCATATGTCATTAGGGAGTTGCAAATTACATAATGAGATGCCACTCACAACAATGAGCTAACCACACACACACCCCTATTAGAATGAATGAATGAATCCAAAACTCTGAGGACTGCAAATACTGACAAGGATATAGAGCAACAGAAACTCAAACTGATTGCTGGGGGAATGCAAAATAGTACAGCTACATTGGAAGACTGTTTGGTGGCTTCCCAAAGAAAGAAGCATACCCTATAATATATGACCCAGCAATCATGCTCCTTAGTATTAAACAAAATATGCACACAAAAACTTGCAAATAGATGTCTAGAGCAGCTCTACTTGTCATTGCCAAAACACGTAAGGGACCAAGATGTCCTGCAGTAGGCAAATGGATAAACAAACTGTGGGACATCCAGACAATGGACTATTACTCAGTGCTAAAAAGAAATGAGCTCTCAAACCTCAAAGACATGTCAGAACATTAAAATATATATTGTCAAGTGAAAGAAGCCAGTCTGAAAAGGCTATCTACTGTATGATTCCAATCATATGACATTCCAAAAACAACAAAACTATGAAGACAGTAAAAAGATCAATGGTTGCCAGGGAGTGGTGGGGGGAGGGGAGAAAGGAATGAAAAGACAGCACACATAAGATTTTTAGAGCAGTGAGACTATTCTGGTGATGTTATAATAATGGATGCATGTCAAATGATGGCTACTTTTATCAAAATTCAGAGAACGTACAAAGCCAAGAGTGAACCCTAATGTAAACTACAGATTTTGGATGGTAATAATATGTTAAGTAGGTTAATCAGTGTAGCAAATGTGCCATTCTGGTGCCAAATGTTGATATGAGGGAGGCCGTGCTTGTGTGGTGGCAGGGATATACAGAAATGTGTACTTTCCACTGAATTTTGCTATGACCCTAAAATTGCCCTTAAAAATAGTGTCCATTAAAAAAGAAAAAAACCAGGATGAGAGAAAATATTTGTAAGTCATATGCCTGATAAGGGGACTATATCCAGAATATATAAAGAACACTTACAACTCAATAATAAAGACAACCCAATTAAAATTGAGCAAAAGATTTGAATAGATATTTATCCATAGAAGATATTCAAATGGCCAACACACACGTGCAAAGATGGCCAACATCATTACTAATTAGTAAAATGCACTAGGACAGCTATAACCAAAGAGACAGACAACAAGAAGTGTTAGTGAGAACATAGAGAAGTTGTAACAGCCATATATTGCTGGGGGAACATAAAATGGCATGGCCATTTCAGAAGTTTGGCAGAATGTTAAAAATCCGACCAACAATTCAAAGTCTAGGTTTTCTATCAAAGAAAAATGAAAATATATTTCCACACCAAAACTTGTGCTTCAATGTTCACAGCAGCATTTCTAAAAGCCAAGATGAGGATATAATCCAAATGTTCATCAGATAATGAATGGATAAACAAAATGTGGTATATATGCACAATGGCATATTATCTGCTCATAAAGGAATGGAGTACAGATACAAGCTACAACATGCATGAACTTTGAAAACATTATGCTAAGTGAAAGAAGTCAGACACAAAAGGCTATATATTCTATGAGCGCATATAAGAAATGTCCAGAATCGGCAAATCTATAAAGAGAGTAGATTCATGGCAGCCAGGGCCTGGGGGGAGGAATGGGGAGTGACTATTGATGGATTTAGGCATTCTCCTGCAGGAGAGAAAAATGTTGTAGAATTCGATAGTGGCTATAATTTTGGAACTCTGTGAATGTATTAAAAACCACAGAGTTATATATTTTTATAAATACAATTTTATAGGATGTGAATTATATCTCAATAAAGTTATGGAAGAAAGAAAAGGAAGTAGAAAGGGAGGGAGGGAGGGAAGGAGGGAGGAAAGAAGGAGAAAGGACAGGGAGGGGAAAGGAACAAGGAAGGGAAGGAGAGAAGAGAGGAGAGGAGAAAAGAAAGAAAGAAAT